TGTACCTGGGGCTTCTGTTTAGGACTATGCTTCCTCCTCACCGTGACCCAGCCGCCCTCTTTCCCCAGCGTATCAGCGATACTGGCCCGTATTTACTTGGTATCGGATCGATACCAAAATATGCAGTATCGCTCACCACTACTGTTTGGGTTTCAAGATGCAGCTGGAACATTTGGCTTGACTTGGAGGAGAGGAAAACGAGGACTGAAATGCACGCTTGTGGGGAGAATGAGAGAAGTCCAGGCCTTTGTAGCAGAGGTCAAGGGCACCTGAAGGGGAGGTGCATGAGTTCACCATTTATAGCAACTTCTTGGAAAAACATACGATAGTCTGGTAAGACGAAAGAGAGGATCAAAAAGCGAAATACCTCTGCTTTGTTTGCACAGCACCATTGTGCTATGAAGAGGTGCCAAAAAGAGCCGTGCTGTTTTCTGAATGCCATTTGACTGAAGAAACAAAACTATTAAATGTCTGACAACTGATGTCACAATAAAAAAAATGTAAAAACTGAAATAAAAACCCACGGAGAACTTACAAACATAGAAAGGCGCTGCCCAGATTCAAATGCTGTGAGGCAGAGCTAATTACTGAGCCAGGATTCTACACCTATTATTATTACATCCACATGACTGTGAGTAAGTCACAAAGCACAGTGTTTTATCCTGAGGTCATTGTCCATCTGGACTCGCTGATTCTTTATTCTGTTGTGTTTCTATGTAAAACACACAAAGATTCAGAGACCAACTCTAAATGTAAAACATTTAATTTAAAATTGTAAAACAAAAGAGCAAACAGTTTAACAGTTTTTAAGAACCCATGAAAATGCAAATCAGAACAACTCTGACTATTATCCTCACACTGCAATAATGTGAGTTTGATACACATGAAATCCTGTCATCTACAAATATAAGAATATGTACTGTGACACAATAAAAAAAAGCTGTATCAACACCGGCCACTGCTCAGGCAGTCTTCATATTCCTGTATGTGATGGTACAGTTAGTATACGACCTAGGCAGAGGAACAGGAAGTAGCTCAGACTGGAAGGAAAACCAGATCCGGTGTGTGACCTTTGATGTGGGTGGCACTTGAACATGCTGTGTGGAACTGAGACGGTCCAACGGTTGTAAGAATTTGCTGGCAAACCATGAATGATGAATAATGAAGTGGGTGAAGTAAGAGAATGGATGGAGACATGGAGCAGGTAAAAGTGAGAAGCCTACACAGCTCCCGCATGAAGGCAGTGGACAGGACAAGCTGAGAAAATTAAACTGGGCGGAGCCTCTGTTCACATTCATTTTTGGTCCCAGCATTAAAGGTTATTAATGTATTAATGTACTAACTTAAACCAAACATTAAAACACTTTCTAAGACATCTTAAATATTAATTATTAAATATTCCACCAGGTGTTTCTTTTATTTGCTAATTTTATCATTTCTTTTTACCCTGTTCCCTCTTTGTTTAGAAGCTGGGCTGTGCGCCACCCTGCATTTTGATCATCTGATTTTAAACTGTTCTACATGTATGCATATGATTGAAAAATGAAACCAAAACTATGCAGTGCAACTGCAAACAAAAAGCAAAATACCTCTGCTTTGTTTGCACAGACCATTGTGTGATCGAAAGAGTTGCAAAAAAAGAGCCGTGTTGTTTACCTGAAGGCCATTTGACTGATGAAACCAAATTATTAAATGTCTGAGAACCAATGTTCCCTCTAATGTTTCACGTGTCTTTAGCTTTACATCTTCAAGCACATGGAGAACATCCAAACTACACAGAAGGCCTCTAATAACTGAGCCAAAATACTGCACCTATTACTATTGAATTATGTAGTGTCAGTTTAATTCTGGGGTTATTGTTCTTTGTTCTCTCGTTTATTTATGTAAAAGAAACCAAAGAATGAGACAAAACTCTAAATTAAAATGGCGTTTTGAAAAAAAGAGCAAACCCGCTCTGGACATGCTCTGAAAAGGAAAATGTAAATCAGAATAGCTGATTTATTATCCTCACACTGCAGTGATGTGAGTCTGTAATGTAAAAACACATGTATTTGTGCTGCACTAAAACCTGGTGTGATGTGAGAAAATTCTGAAAGTGAACTTTTCAACTTTTTCTTGAAAAGAAGTGTTACGAACGAAATGCAGGCTTGCAGTTATATGTGTGATCTGACAGAATCTAAATATAATTCTTTGTTGTAAACATGTATGTTTATGTGAATTTAAGTACTGTCAGATTTTAAAACTGTCTTTAAAAGAAGCAAAGTAGAAACTGTCACGTGGATTAAACTGGTTTTCAGGCGTAACCCTGTGTTTACAAGATAACAATAACACGGTCTGTGTGCCAGGAATCAGATAATCAGAGAAGTTAGGTTTCATTTACTCATTTACAGTATGTATGTTTTTAAAAAGGTGTGTTTTCCTGCTCAGACCAGTTTTGCAGCTTATTGTTCTCTCACATAGCGCATGCCACTAGACTTGGCAGGACTGTGCCCTGCTTCGTATATAAAGATGCTGCAGGTGGATGTGAGCAGCATCTCTGGAGACAGAGGTGGGTTTGGAGGATCATGGCGTCCACACTGATGCTCCTGCTTCAGCTGCTCCTGGTCTCACTGGTGTCTGCTTCTCATTACTTTGGGGGAACCACGACCTACACCTACAAAGGAAGAAACCCTGATGGCTCTTTTAATGTGAGATACACAACGTTTAACTGTACTTAATGTTAATGACAGATAATAAGTGAAGCTGTTTTCCCGACTGTGGCAGGTCTGATTATTCTGACAGAAGAAACTTTCGCTTTTCAGCCTTTTCCTTGAATTCCTTAATTTTTGCTTCTTAACTTATCCATGCATTTTTAAACACTTTGTCCTTTATTAAAGTTTAAACAAATACTAAACTTTATTTTTTTTAAAACTATTGAGAACAACTAAAAAATGTTCATCAATTATTATGAAAAACACAATAATAATAATTATGATGATGATGAAGATGATTATTATCGTGTTTCACTTTCTTCACCTCTAAATCCAGAGTGCCTCGACTAATCAATGGCTGCAGACGTGGCTTCCATGACCTGCATTTGTTATTGATTGTGTTAAAATTGTGATCACATGATCAAACACAGATACAGAACCTTCTTCATACTGATAACGTGGAGTAAACCTGAAATAACTGGTGACAATCTGACTGAGTTGATTATATGATATTTTCTATAGGTTCAAATTCGGGACAGGGACACCTATGATGGATGTTACGACACCCTCGGCTGGTATTGTTCCAGTGGATACTGTGGCTACACCTCCACAAGTCAGAGAGGCAGACTGGACAGCAGCACCAGTGCTCCACTCTATAACAGACAATGGTGTGAAGCTGAAACCGTCACCACGCGGGTCGTCCCGAGCAACAGACCTTTTGAAATGCGGTGAGCATTTTTCATTTTAAGTATGAAGATGTTGTTGATGTGCTTCATTATGTGTAATTATTGGTTATTAATTTTTATTAATTATTATTCATCTAAAGTCACCACAGTCATTAAATCTGTCTGATATTATGATAAAACAAGAGCTTGGTGGGTGGATGACTTTGTTATTTCCAAACAAACCAGGGCAGCGAGCTGCTGCTGGATATACAGACGTGACAACAATTATTATTGGTACTTGAACACTCTTGTGGATTTGGGAGAAAGATCCGACACTGGAAAACCAAACAGAGCACCAGAAACTGCCATCCTACCTTTCCTCAGGTAAGCTTCCTGAAACTGATTTAAACTGTTAGCCTCTGAACTGAAATCTGAATTTCAAAATGTCAGCAAAACCTGCTTCTCTCAAAAAGGGAAACAACACGCTCATTTGTTTTTATCAACCAGCAGTCAAATTAAAACATTATACTTACTGACCAAGCATCATTTATGCAGCCAGGACTTATTTGGTAATTTTGGCTGTGAAATCTATAAGTGAATGCTTTTGCCCCCTTTTCAGAACAACCTCATCATTTTACATTATTGTATCGTTATGACAACGGAACAACAGTAAAAAAAATTAAAAACAAACTTTGTTTTTTCAGATTTATAGTTAACTGTAAACGTATATTTAACAAAATGTAACACAACATCGATTTTAAATATCAACAATGCTAAATATGATATTTAGCATAGCACGTTTTGCACACATTTAAAATATGTGCAATATGTTTCTAAACGACGTCGGAGTTACAGTCATTTAAAAAGCACTTGTAAAGGGTTCATTTAATTTACAGTGAGAACTCTACCAGCTGCTGTATAATTACTTCTTTCATTTAGATTTATTTTTAATTCTATTTTTCCTTCAGCTCTGTCATTAAACAGATTTTTCTTTTTACCTTTTTGATCAATTTTCTATACAAGATAATCATGCCAGTGAATGATTCATGTTACTGTGTGAGACACTGAGAGAGACTTTGTTAATGTGTTTATTGAAGAGTTCCTGAAAACTGCCCACGGACATACAAGCTGATGTCCTTTGATCCTGATGGAGACAAAGTCAGATGCAGATATGGAAATCCAGGAAGAGAGAGATGCACTAATAAATATGCCCAATTTTAGTCTCATTTTAAAGGTATTTATTTCGTTTTTAGTTGCTTTTTTAAACTTTTCTTAGAGTTCTCTTATGTGCTTGTGGTGGAAAACTATTTCCCTACTCGTCAGTCAATGTCATATTACTTTTGAGACTCTTAATATTTGGTAAATGTATAAAAATGGCTCGAATTCCTGAACAAATAATGCAATACTGCTGCTGAACTGCTTCATTTATCTTCATTGTTTTGATTTGAAATCCATTGTAGTAGTCTACAGATTTACAATAACAAACTGTGCAGAAACACATGAAGTTAATGAGGCTGTGACATTTGTGCTTTCTCCTTGGCTGGGATGGAGAAGCAAAGGTTTGACTGCAGCTCTGCTCTTGTTCCACTAGAGGGGGCAAGTGTACGTCTGCTGATATACTGACAGTGTGTCCTGTTTCACTCAGGTATACATCAGCTGTTCAGTAATGATGTGTGAAGCAGGGAATCCCAACAGCAGGTGCTCACAGGGATGCATCAACTCAAACCATCACCACCACTCCCACCGC